GTCTCACTCAGAACCCAGGCTCTGCCCACCAGAAGCCTTTAATGGTGACTCCACACAATGTCATGCTTTTCTCACCCAGTGTGAAATACAATTTGAACTTCAACCTACAGCTTTTCCCTCAGAGCGGTCCAAGGTGGCTTATGTTGTGTCATTGCTGTCTGGTAAAGCCAAATTATGGGGCACTGCAGAGTGGCAGAGGGATTCGCCAATTTGTTACAAGTATCGTGATTTTGCTCATGAACTAACTCATGTCTTTAGCCCTCAGTTACCCCACAAGGAGGCGACCCGTGCTCTGCTTAAACTTCGCCAGGGTAACCGTAGAGTGACGGATTTAATCATTGACTTTCACACTCTCGCAGCTGATAGTCGGTGGAATGAGGAGGCACTTCAGGATGTTTTTTGGCAGGCACTAAGTGACGAGATTAAAGACGAACTGGCAACTCGAGATCCCCCATCATCCCTCAGAGAACTGGAAAACCTGGCTACTAGGATTGACCTAAGGCTACAGGAGCGCCGCCATGAGGTGAGACAAAGTACAAAAGTCTATGTTCATAAATCTCGTCCTAGTTCACCCATTCAAAGACTGGAAGCCCGACCCTTACCACCGTCACCACCAACTAATGCGGAGCCCATGCAAATTGGAAGGACCAAGCTCTCTCAGGAGGAGAGATTAAGGAGGAGTCAGCAGGGTCTTTGCTTRTACTGTGGAGGAAGGGGTCACCAAGCTAAAGTCTGCACCCTCAAACCAGGATCTTCTAGAGGCAGTTCACACGAGGTCAGAGCCTCGTACCAAGAACCACGTCTTCCCCGTGTCAACGCCCAGTTAAGGGTTAATGGTAAGGATCACTTAGTCAAACCATTTATTGATTCTGGAGCTGACACAGACTTTATAGATCTTGACTTTGCTTTGTCTCTGGGCATTCAGATGAGTCCCACCGAATCACTCCGTAGAATCGTGGCACTAGATGGTCATCCGTTAAGCCCCACCAACCAACAAACCCAAGAACTTCAACTMTGTATTGGTGGTAATCATGTGGAGACAATAAAATTTTTATCAATTAAATCTCCCGATCTACCCATTGTATTAGGAGCTACTTGGTTACGCAGACACAACCCTCATATTGACTGGAGGTCAAATAACATTCTAAGTTGGTCTGATTACTGTTTAACTCATTGTCTTAAGTCTGCTTTTACACCACCCACTAAGGAATCAATAAAGGAGTTATCACCTGATCTGTCTCATGTCCCCCAGTGCTACCATGACCTTAAACAGGTGTTTAGTAAAAGTTTGGCCACTTCCTTACCCCCACATCGACCATATGATTGTGCCATTAATTTGCTACCTGGTTCCACACCTCCTAGAGGTCGCCTGTTTCCCCTGTCTCAACCAGAAAACGAGGCCATGCAATCATACATTTCTGACTCCCTTAAAGCTGGTATTATTCGTCCTTCATCTTCCCCTGCCGGGGCTGGTTTTTTCTTTGTGGGAAAGAAGGATGGGTCACTTCGRCCCTGTATTGATTACCGTGGTCTCAATGATATTACGATTAAGAATAAATATCCCTTGCCACTTATGACCTCTGCTTTTGATATCATCCAGGGTGCTAAGGTATTCACCAAGTTAGACCTACGCAACGCCTACCATTTAGTCAGGATCCGTGAAGGGGATGAGTGGAAGACGGCCTTCAATACTCCTTCAGGCCACTATGAGTACCTCGTCATGCCCTTTGGATTAACCAATGCTCCCGCTGTCTTTCAGGCCTTAGTTAATGA